TCTTCTTTGAAGAAATCATCTCTTAAAACCACTTGCCCACTGCCAGTATGGGTTTTTATTTCCAGTGTCATATTGTAAAAGTGCTTTGTATATCCAAAAGGCAAATCCTTTCTCAGATGTATGATTTGCAAAAGTTTTCTCCCAACCTGTGGCTTGGCTTTTCACATTGGTGGTGATTAGAACTGTACATCTTGTAACTTGCTTACAGTATGGGGCAGTATGTCCTCTGTATGCTTCAGACTGGGTCAATTCCTGCATCTCTTTCCTCTGTTGAGGCAATGGGCACAATGTATTGGTTGTGTCACCAGTTTAGGATTGGTTTTCTCTACCAGAAACTGTGTCTTACAAATCTTTGCATCTTCAATGCCTTGGTCTCTCCTAACACGAAAGAAGAGCTCAGTAGTTGCTTGTTTAAAAAAACCAAAACAAAACAAAATTAAACTTTGCATCTGAAAAAAAAGTTCAGTACTGATCCAAGACAGCTAAGAGGAAGAGCTTAGTGAATTGTCAAAGAATCCATGCGTGTGAGGAGATCTCCCATCCTTGTACGTAAACAAGGCTGGCACTTTCTCTCGCATCACCCCTGCAGATAGCCGTGGCCAGCTCCAGCACTGCAGATCCTGTGGTCCCTGTGATGACAGCGGCACTCCAGACCACAGTCCTGTGTTCTGTCACGGGACTCGGGCAGCTCACTGTGGGTTTCTTCAGTCCCTTCTGAGCAACCTCCCGACATTTGTCTGCCCAACACATTCTTTACTCATTTATTTTAAGGTACTTTGAGATTCTTGGTTGCCATATGTCAGCTTAAATCTAGTAGAGTCATATTAAAATAGACACACCACTTGTGCAGGGAGGTTGTCTCATCTATATTACTGCCTTGTGACTCAGTTGTGTTAAAAGAAATCTAGTTTTTTTTTTCTTTCTATAAAGATATTTCTATTCATTTTTTTTAATTTTTTTTTTTTTTTTTTTTTTTTTTTTTTGCTTATTTGAAAGGGAGAGCATCAGACGAAGAGGCAGAGTGAGACAGAGAACGAGAGATCATCCATCTACTGGTTCACTCCCCAAATGATAGCTGTAGCCAAAGCCAGACCAAGCTGGGTCTCCTACAGGGGTTGTTGGAGCTAAATGCTTAGGCTAGCTACTGCCCTTAAGGAACTTTAGCAAGAATCTGGATTGGAATCAGAGCAGCAAGGTCATGGGTTGTTGGAACCTAAATGCTTAGGCTGGCTTCTGCTCTCTAAGGCACATTGGTAGGAAGCTGGTTTGAAATCAAGTAACAAATCTTGGACTGGCATTATAAGCCTGCTTAATCCACTACACCAGCTCTGGCATTTCAATTCTTTTTTTTCCCTAAGATTTATTATTTTTGTTGTAAAGGCAGATGTACAGAGAGAAGGAGAAACAGAGAGAAAGATCATCCTTCTACTGATTCACTCCCCAATGGTCAGAGCTGAGCCAATGCAAAGCCAGGATCCAGGAGCTTCTTCCAGGTCTGCCACGAGGGTGCAGAGTCCCAAGGCTTTGGACCATCCACTACTGCTTTCCCAGACTACAAGCAGGGAGTTGGGAGGGCAGTGGAGCAGCCAGGACATGAACTGGCACACATATGGGATCCCAGCCTATACAAGGTAAGGATTTAGCCACTAGGCTATTGTGCCTGGCCCTATCTACTTTTAAAATTTTTTATATTTATTTATTTGAAAGGCAGAGAGACACACAGATAGACAGCTTCTGTCTTCTGGTTTATCACCCAGTTGCCCATACTGCTGGGACTGGGCCAGGCCAAAGCATGAATTAGGAACTCAATTCCTGTTTGGTGGCAAGAACCCAATCACTTGAGCCCCTGTGGGTGTTCTTCGCAAAAAGCTGGAATCAAGAGGTGGAGTAGGGCCCTGCACACAGTCTTTCCAAATGGGGTACTGCTGGTATTTATTTATTTGTTTATTTATTTATATTGTAAAGGCAGATTTACAGAGAGAAGAAACGTTAAAATGATCCTCCATCTGCTGGTTCACTCTCCATATGACCACAATAACCCGAGCAGAGCTGGATGGGAAGTGGAGCAGCCAGAACATAAATCGGCACCCATATGGGATGCTGGTGCTTGAAGCTAGAAGATTAACCTGTTGAGCCATGGTGCCACCCCCAGGATACAGTTGTCTTACTGTTTGCCCAAATACATACATCCGCAAGATTTTGCAGAAAGCAATCTTTTTCTACTGATTTTTAAAAATCACCTTTCATACTATCGTTTCATCATCTGCCCCAGACATTTGCAAGAAATAATTTAACAGAGTCTCCTCTGTTTTCTGGAGCCAGTTTTACTTTCTCAAAATGAGTCTCTAAATTCTGACCCTCTGTTGAACATATTGCAAGGACCCCTATTTTGGTTGGAATATTAAATATAATATGCAGGAACAGTTATTCCTGTAAAATAAAGGTTCCCTGTGAAAACTCCTTTAAGGTCTTGTTTTTAAATCCTGATGGAACATTTAAAAATGAGATCCAAGAAGGAAGCCTGTATAAATGTTTGTATACCTCTGATGTGGGTTGAATTCTCAGCCACTTTTTATTTTTATTTGGCACTGAGGCAACACAAAAAGTGGAGAAAACAGGTTGATGGCTTATGATTGACTTATTTTCACTTAGCACAGCAAGACGTACTAAAATTACTTTATCCTAAAACGCTCCTCAGATTCTTGAATGGGGAGTACCCATCCCCCGCCCGTTATACAACAAAAATAGCTCTGTATTTTTGGGAGAAGGAGTTTGGCAGGCATGCTGATGACAATACTCTATTGGAAAACATTTACTTTGAGTGACTAAAATCCAGATGCTGCTCATGGTAGTTAAAAGCCACTAATAGTATGTTTACTCTGGCACTCAGCACGTTGCCGTGAGATTAATGCGAGGCTGGCCCAGTCTAGAAGGGGAGAAGACAAGGGGGGCTGGGTGGCTGGATGCCTCCTCGTCTTCAGGCTGTGAGAAGTGGGATGGCCTGAGTGTGACCATATTTTGTAATCATTGCTGTGTCTTTGACAGAATATAGTCCTGGCACCATGTAGGCACTGGAATAAATGCTGTATGAAGAGGAGGGTGGGATGTGTTTGATTAGTTAGACAAAGATCATTGCTAGAGGCGTACGAGTACAACTTTCTTAGGTCAAGAATTTAATTTGTGGGAGCTGGCGGTTAGCCCAGCATTAAGATGCCTGGATATTACAATATCTGGGTTTGAGGCCCAGATCTGGCTCCTGACTTGAGTTCCCTGCTAACACAGACCCTGGGAAGCTGTGCTGATGGCCCGAATAACTGGGTTCCTGCTACCCTGTGGGAGACATGGATTGCATTTCAGTTTCTGGCTTCATCTTCTGTGACAAGAGCACGGAGAGACTGAACCAGTGCCTGAGAGCCCTCTCTCTGTCTCTGCATTTCAAATAAAATGTAATTGAGAATATAATACTCCTCAGGGTCAGCATGATAGTTCAATTAGCTAATCTTCCACCTCCAAGTGCAACATCCTACAAGGATACCTATTCATATCCTGGCTACTCCACTTTACGTACAGCTCCCTGCCTGTGGCCTGGGAAGTAGCGAAGGATGGTCTAAAGCCTTGGGATCCTACACCTGTGTAGGAGTCCCAGAAGAAATTCCTGGCACTTGACTTCGGATTGGCTCAGCTCAAGCTGTTGTGGCCATTTGAAGAATGAACCAACAGATGAAAGATCTTTGTCTCCTTGTTTCTGTAAAATCTACCTTTCCAATTGAAAAAAAAAAAAGTAACACTTTAAAAAGCAAGTATTCATCTCCTTCAAATTTGAATTGTTCTTTGTTAAAAGGAAGTAATACTAGACCTAACTATATTAATGTATAGAATAGCAAAAACTAGAGTGCAATTGTATGTTATTCAATTGAGCAAGTTTCGTGACTCTCCATTCATAACTTGGCCACTTTGATGTTAATGAACTTTGTGAAATGTGGTCAGATTGATACATATATATTGTCAGCTCATTCTTCTGTGTTGAATAGGAAGAACCGTAGAAGTGTTATTTTGACATTGATTTCTACTAACTCCATCAAGTTAAATCCAATCTCCACTTTTAGGAAGTATGCCTTGACGCTGGAAACACAATCAGGAGTTAGTAGTTACTGTCTCTCATTTTCCAGAACAAATGGATTCCTTTGTTATAGTCATTTACAGATGCCAGATTTTTGCTTTTGTCTTTTTCCTAAATCACTAAATAACCTTCATGTCCCTAATGTATTCAGATTTTTTCAAAGGATTCTTTCAGGATTAGATGTGTCAACAAGGTGTTAGTTTGAACATGGTGAGAGAGGGGTGGCTGGGGAGCAGGCCTTGGCATCGTGAGCAGGATCCTGAAATGGAATCTGAGGGTTTCCCCGCTATGAATGGGATATGTGGGTATGAAAAGAAGTTATTTTTAGGCCTGGCATCCCTGAAAACCCCTGGAGCTGTGTGTTTTTACAAACTGTAAGTTTATGCACCGAACAAAAATGACCAGATGTTGATCTCTGTAACATGCCAACTGGCAAGTGTGGAGGCGCTCCGAGCCTGGAAGTAATGATGCCAGTTCCTTTGCCATTCCAACCCCAAAGGGACAATTGAGGGAGAGTGGTGTCCATACCATTACAGTGTGCTCAGCTACCAAAGGTGTCACATGTTACCAATTGTTAGGTACAGGGTTTCAAGGTTTATTTTTCCCTCCCTCATGACTCCATGCATGTTTGTGGCATTACAAATGTGACCCACATTTCTTTTTCTAATTTGCTACATTCTTTTCCGAGGCTTATCTCATTCTTTTAAAGGGTCAGCAGATTGGTTGCTGAAAGAGCCAGCTGGTCGTAAGAGGCTGACAAAGGTCCTGTGCTAGGGCTAGCTGTAATATCAATGTAACCTGGGTCATTACCTAACAGCAGACCTCAGCAGTTTCACGCGTTCACCTTCTGGATTTTCCTCCCTCCCTCTTCTCTCCTTAGAAATACGAGCTCAACTGGTGGAACAACAGAAATGCCTGGAACAACAGACGGAGATGCGAGTTCAGCTGCTCCAGGACCTGCAGGACTTCTTCCGGAAAAAAGCCGAAATCGAGACAGAATATTCTCGGAACCTGGAGAAACTAGCGGAAAGGTTCATGGCCAAAACGAGAAGCACCAAGGATCACCAGCAATACAAGTAAGGGAGACTTGACTCAGGTTCTTGCTCCCAAGGTGACAGCCTGCTTTGCATCATCTCTCTGGGGCTTAGATTTTTTTTTTTCCCCAGTGAACTATGATTGGGCATAAATCAAAGCAACCCTCTTTGTGTATAGTTGATGGATACTAATTTCCTGTATTTTAACCAACGATATTGTTTTGGCATTTTTCTCTTTCCAACATAGGTTGGAATAACCTTATAGGCCAGAAGGAAATGCATGTGCTGGTACAGTTCCTAATCACAGAGAAGTGGGAATTCCTATCTGCCACAGGTGGAAATTTGGAAGAGCAAATTAAAATCGATTACTTCTTAAAGTAGTGACTTTAGAGTCTTGGATGTGGTTTGGTACAAAAAGAAGCACTGGGCGCTGGGCAGTGCTTGAACTCAGTGCTTCCACCCCTTCCCATCCCTGTTTTCATGTACGTGCACACAGAGTGCTTTGTACTGATTGACTTATCTCTTTGAAAGTCAAAGTTACAAAGAGAGAGAGATAGAGATCTTCCATTTGCTGATTCACTCCCCAGATGGCTGCAGCAACCAGGGCTGGGCCAGCCTCAAGCCAGGATATAGGAACTTTATCAGGTTTCTGCCACACGGATGGCAGGGGCCCAAATACTGGGGTATCTTTATTGCTTTTCTCAGGCTAATAGTAGGGACTGGGTTGGAAGTGGAGCAGCCAGGACGTGAACCAGTGCCCAAATGGGATGCCGACATTGCAGGCAGTGGCTTTTCTCCCCATGCCACATCACCAGCCCAAGGGACATGGATTTAAAATCAGGGCTTTTAGTAAAATTCTGGTGAGTGAGCATCATTGAATCTTCCATTAATTATTTGTTTTAAAAGTACAAACAGGTTATTCTGGTGATGAAATTTCCACTGTCATTTCAATCCTGGAGCTGTAGAGAAGTGAGCAGCCACTCACATAGAGAACACTTGCCCTGCAGCAGGGAGAAGCTCAGAGTACTGTGGACTGGCTGGAATCCATTCCGCAGGGAAAGGAATGAAAGGCCCGGAGCAAGTGGCATCTAAGCAGAGGCCTCGCGGTCTAGTCAGCCTGTAAAGGGAGAAGAGGAAAGGGGGACGATCCAGGCACCGGGAAAGGCAATAATAAGGGACCAGCAGCAAGAGGTAGAGAGCAAATTCACATAACAGAGATAGTTTGGGATAACGAAATAAAGCAGATCAGATCTTCCTGGGCAGCTTGAACTTGATCCTGGGTGCATGAGAAGGCTTTGGAAAGCTTTACGTAGAAGTAATACCACCCACACCAGGAGACAGGATCAGGCACTGAAGGGAGGCACAGCCGGGGTAGGGGGACCATGCCAAGGGCTCTCCAAGGAATGTTGGCAAAGAGAAACAGACCTACTTAGGAAATGTTGAAAAGGCAGTGCAGACTTTGATTTCCAGAAATAGGGTTCACCTGAAAACCCCTCTGAAAAACACTCCAACCCCAAAGCCCCAGAAGTGCTAATTAAAATATAATAGTCATCTTTTTCAGGATATGGGCTGTACTCACAAGAAGGTAGGAGACATTTCCAGGGGCCCAAAAGGAAAGGCACTAAAGGAAACAGTTGAAATTATGGCCTAGTGTATTAAGTCAGTGTCTGCCTGTGACACAGGGATGCCACCTGGGCATCAGTTCAAGTCCTGGCTGCTTCACTTCTGGTCCAGCTGTTTGCCAAAGTGCCTGAGAAAGCAATGGAAGATGGCCCAAGTGTTTGAGTTCCTGCGTTCATGTGGGAGACCCAGACAGTTCTGACCTCCTGGCGTCAACCTGGCATGGCACCAGCAGTTGTGCTGTGGCTATTTGGAGAGTGAACCAACAGAAAGTGGGTATCTCTTTCCCTCTCCCTATAGTCTTGGTTTCAAATGAATAAAATAAATGTTAGGAAAAAAAAAAAAAAACAAGAAAAACTAAGTAGCAGACTACTTTCCCAGGTCACAAACAGGGAGCTAGATGGGAAGTCAGGCAGCCAGAACACAGACTGGCATCCATATGGCATGCAGGCAAGAAATTAACCAATTGAGCCAATGTGCCAGTCCCTATAGTTAGTTTTTAAAAATAACTGTAAGGAGTTAGTGCTGTGAACTAGCAGGTAGAACCACCACCCGTGCCACTGGGTCCCCTGTGGATGCTCCACTTCCCATCCAGCTTCCTGCTAGTGTGCCTGGGAAAGCAGTAAAAGATAGCCCAGTTACTTGGGTCCTTGTTGTCAGTGTGAGAGACCTGATAGAAGCTCCAGGCCCCTGACTTTGGACCAGCCAAACGCTGGCCGATGCCACCATTTGGGGAATAGGTCAGTGGATGGAAGACTTTTTTGTCCCTCTCATTCTCTTTCAAGTAAATGAAATAAAAAAAAATCTTAAAATGAACCACCAAAATAATGCTCCTTTTTAAAAAGCATATCTTGGGCCCGGCGCGGTGGCGCAAGTGGTTAAGTCCTCGCCTTGCAACCCCGGGATCCCATATGGGCGCCGGTTCTAATCCCGGCAGCCCCGCTTCCCTTCCAGCTCCCTGCTTGTGGCCTGGGAAAGCAGTGGAGGACGGCCCAAGGCTTTGGGAACCTGCACCCGTGCGGGAGACCCGGAAGAGGCTCCTGGCTTCGGATCGGCATAGTATCGGCCCGTTGCGCTCACTTGGGGAGTGAATCATCGGACGGAAGATCTTCCTCTCTCTCTCTCCTCTCTCTGTATATCCGCCTTTCCAATGAAAAAATAATAAAAATAAATCTTTAAAAAAAAAAAAAAATAAAAAAAAATAAAAAGCATATCTTCCCACCATTTGCAATCTGGTTTTGGTTGGATTTTTTCCTTAAGAGTTTTTTGAGAAGTCTATGGCTCATACCCTGTTAGCTTTAGCGTGGAGAATAAAACAAGGCACAGTTAGAAATTTGGCACAGTTTTATGGGTTTCAGCAGAACATGTGACAAGTAATGAGCCAGTACATTCATGTGCCTTGAGACTGTGCCATAAATCTCTGGTCCCCAGAAACACTATTTGGGAGGTTGGAGCTTGTATACCTAGGGATAGTAAATAACCCTCCAATTTATGTTCCATGGAAAGCGTAACTAGCCACATGTCATTTCCAACAATGGACTGAGTATTCAGAGGGAACTTAGTGCAGTGACAGACCTCTGTCTTTGAGACAGGGATCAACCAAAGTTTATGTAAATACAGTTTGCTTTCTTGGCTGGGGTGTTAGTAGTCAAAGAGCTGCCTGTGCACTGTGTATGTATTCAGAGCCTGGGTTGTCACTGCTGTTTTTCTCTCAAGTATTTTCTTCCCAACCTGGCAGGTCACTGTCTCTGTCCTGGCCCACAGGCTGCAAGGCTTTCCAGGGTCTTAGTCTGAGAAGTGCCCAGAGCAGAGAACAACAAGCCACAATGCCCATCTAGCTCTGTAGCTGGGCTTGATCACCTCACTGTTGGATGGGGCCGTTTGGAAGTTGGTGGTAACATTGTCTGTCTTCACTTTGTAGAAAGGACCAGAACCTGTTGTCTCCGGTGAACTGCTGGTACTTGCTCCTGAACCAAGTGAGGAGGGAGAGCAAAGACCACGCCACCCTGAGTGACATCTACCTGAATAATGTGATCATGCGGTTCATGCAAATCAGCGAGGATTCCACCAGAATGTTTAAAAAGGTACTCATCCAAAATCCCTGTGCTTTTTCTCTGATACTTACTTTTTTCTTTCTGTACCACTAAGATCAATGCCTGCTGCAAACTCGATACTCAAGAAATATTCATGGGAAAAAGTTAAAAGAATGATTATTGCTTGAAATTTAAAGATTTTTTAAAAAAATTTATTTAAAAGACATACTTACAGAGAAAGGAAAAGAAACAGAGACTCTTCCTTCCTCTGACTTACTCTCCAAATAGCCACAGTGGCCAGGATTGGGCCAGGCAGGAGCCAGGAGCCCAGGGCCCAGAGCTTCTTCCGGGTCTCACACATAACTATAGTGACCTAAAGCTTTGAGTCATCTGGTTCTGCTTCCCAGGTGCATTAACAGGAATGCTGAATCAAAAATGGAACCAGCCATAACATGGACCAGTGCCTTATGGGATTATGGGATGCTGGTGTTTTAGGCAGAGGCTTAACCTACTATACCACAGTACTGGTCCAAGATTTGTCTTATTTATGTATATTGAAAGGCAGAGTTACACAGACAGGGAAACCTTTTATCTGCTGGTTCATTCCCCAGGAAGCCACACAGCTAGGGCTCTGCCAGGCCAGCCAGGAACCCAGCACTTCTTTCAGGTCTCCCTCACTTGTGTCATCTTCACTGCATTCTCAGGCCACATTATCAGGGAACCGGATCAGAAGTGGGTCTCAAAGCACTCTCCTTAGGGACGCTGGCGTCCCGGGTGCTAGCTTTCCTTACTAGGCCGCAGTGCCATCCCTGAGAATGACTGTTTTAAAGATAGAAATGAAAAGCTAAACCTGAGCAGGCACAGTAGCTATAAAGATGTAAATCACTGAATCTGTGACTTGAACATTTTAAGCAAAATTTTCAAGTAAGGTGTCCCTGCCAGTTACAAGTGTCTCCTCAGGCAGTGAGCAGACTACCTGTGCTTAGACAAAAAGTGAGTGGAGAAGCCTCCAATTCCACGTTTGGGTTCCCATCCGGTCGTAGACTTGTGAGGAATAAGACGCCCATATTCAGGGAAAATGTAGTCACGGTCTTACCGGACTCGCACTGGATCATCAGTGGAGGCTGTGAGCGAATAGCACAGACGTACTTCCACAGGACCCAGGAAGTTCAGTTCTTTGCACACAGAGAGCTTCCTCCTGCCCAATCTATTCGAACATAACTTCTCAGTCTTCAGGGCTTCTTGTCATGTTTTGGCCTTCACTAGCTCTCAGCCATGTCCTTATTGTTTACAGTAACACATGGGGACCATTTCCAGGCGAGAATCTAGCTACTTACGGTATCAGCTTACCTCTTGGATTTTATATGTGTAGCACACCCACTCCCTACCCTCTCGGCTTTGTACCAACAGTATTTGGTGCCTGTAGCTAATCCTGTACCCCTCTTCAGCACACAACCATCGGTTTCAGAAGTGGGGTGGGGGAGGGAACCACCCTGTAGATTAATGACATATTTATGTTTCAAAGAGGCACCTTAAAACAAAGACGTAGTGTTATGCAGGCCAGCTGGAAAAGTTCTTAGCTGTGTTTGATGTAGCCACACTGGGTTTGATTTCTGACCTAGAAGTGGGACTGAGCAAACTCTGAACCATCTTGTGTTCTCTGAAATAGAAATTTAAAAAGGAGTTTCAAACAAAGGAGGAATTTTGGAGGCTGGGAATCAGGGCACATACAAGGGGCTCTTTAAGAGTTCGTGGAAAATGCATGTGATGAAAAACACTAGTCAAAATTTTGATGTGTTTTGCACCAAAATGATCTTATCACTTAATTCTGCTTCATGTCTTGGAGGCATTTTGTCTTAAGAAAATAGGTAATGAAATAGCCTTTGTATTATAAGTAGTGGAGATTTTTTAAAGAAAGTTTAAGCTGAGCTATGGAAAGGAAGTGATTTTTCTCTTTTGTCAGCCGGTGCCCCAGAGACCCATTAGGGGTGCTTTGTGTATCTCACATGACCAGATAGATGACTGTGTTGTGTTGTGAAAACCTGAAAGATGAGGAAAAGTTGGTCCTCAGGTTCAAAGAAGCCACAGTTTATCAAAATTTGGACGGCACTTAAAAGAAAGAGATTGATTTATTTAAAAGGCAAGATTTACAGAGAGAAAAGGAGAGACATAAAGAGAAAGAGGTCTTCTACTAAATGGTTCACTCCCCAAATGGTTACGATGGCCAGGATTGAGACAGGCCAAAGCTAGGAGCCTGGAACTCCATCTGGGTATGCCTTGTGGGTAGCAGGTGCCCAAGCACTTGGGCAATCATCCTGTGCTCTCCGAGGTACATTAGTAAGGGGCTGGATCAGAAGTGGAACAGCCCAATTGGACAGAGTCCATAAGTGATGCTTAAGGTCAGGGTTGCAGGACAGCTGATTAACCCACTACACTGTAAGGTCAGCCCCTGGGAGGCACTTTGTGATGCTTCTAACACAGGGCTGGCAGCCGTTCAGCAGGGCCTCTGGGTCTAGCACCCACATCAAGGTTCCTCATTTATCCATTCAATAAAACATCTGTAATGTGCTTGGTCATGAAAATTATTGCTTGAAGACATGTGCCTGCCTGCAGGGAGCTCATTATAATAATTTGCTGTCACCGGGCTAAAGAGAAGCACAACCTTCTGCTGAGGAAGCTTTGTGGCCGAAGTTCTGTCCCCTTCTCAAGCAGGGGTCATGCCAGAGGGAGCATGCGAAGTGAGGCTCTTAGCAGGAGGCAGCAGCAGCATCTAGAGGACATGAACAGTAAGCCAGGATCACAAAAGTAAGGCATCAGTGCAGGGAAAGGAGTGTGTTTGATGTGAAGGGGCCCAGGGTTGTCTGCCAGTGGACGTGGCATGGGCAGCTGGAGGAAAGCATCCTAACACTTCGAACTGTATTTTTTGAATCAAAGTCAGGGACTTGCTAAAGTTGATAGAAGCCTAGGGCCAAAAGTCAGAGGGATTTAGCATTGAATCCCAGCTCTGCAGTTTGTTCATTTTGTAATCTTGGGAGATGATTCGAGAGCATGTGCTCTACTTCTAAAAAGAGTGGGCAAGACTGGGCAGAGGGTGAGGCTGGACCTGCGGGCACTGAGGCTGGTCTGGCTTGGGCAGTTAGGTATCCAGGTAAGGAAGGCTGTCCTTTGTTCTACCCCCATTGGATCTGGGCTGCTCTGAGAGGAGGAGCGGATCATCTTGGGGTGAGCCACTTCCCTTAGGTGGACGGTGATTTCCAAGGGTAATTCCCAGAGAGGGGTCAGCTGTTTCAACAAGCCAGCCAGCAATGTTTCCAGTCATCGGTGGAATGAGTTTGTGGGGTATGCACAATAAGCATGGTAGAAAAGAGAGCTCTTGCATAGCTACGTGTCTGCTACCTGAAAGTTCTTTGCTCATCCAGATTTCCCAGGACTCAAAGAATGAGTCTATAAAAACTTCCTAATTACATTGGCTTTCCCCAGCTGCTTGGGAAGGGGAGTGCTCCATGCTTGTTGAATAAACTTTGCACCCTAACCATTACCGCGGACCAGCTGGGAAGGCAACTGTGAAGACTATCACAGATATCAAAGTCCACCTTCCTCAGGTGAACACAGCAGGAGACACCCCTCACCATGCCATCTGTGTGGTTGCTGGTAGAAAGAAGACCAGAGAAGCAGATGGTGAAAGGGGAGAGGCCAGAGCTTGTTTCACATGCCGCGTGCAAGGGCTAGGAAACCAGAATCTATTCTTGATCAAATCCTAAGAACTTCAGGACCTTGACAATCACAAAGAGTTGCCTTGTCCACCTCCAGGCTTTCTCTTTTCATGGTTTCTATCAAAAGAGGACATTTGAGTTGGTTTGAGACATTGAACTTGGCATGTTATCCTTAGCATAAGTAATGCTTGTCTTTGTTGGGAGATTTTGTGACTGCCATCTCCGAGTAGAGATCAGGCACATACAGTGTGCTTAGTGGTTCGGCTTCTTCCACAGCCGCGTTTGACTCAGTTTAGCCAATGAGAGAATTCTTACTCTACCTGTTTTATCAAATGAGTTTGGGGCCGAGCATTCCAAACGTGTTTCTGTGTCCAGGTGGATGTAGTATTCAAGCAGACCTTTAGAGGGATATGCTTAACTCATGCACAGTTACAGGAAGTGTAGATCTTTTTTTTTTTTTAAAGATTTATTTTTATTATTTTTTATTGGAAAGGCGGATATACAGAGGAGAGACAGAGAGGAAGATCTTCCATCCGATGATTCACTCCCCAAGTGAGAGCAACGGGCCGATACTATGCCGATCCGAAGCCAGGAGCCTCTTCTGGGTCTCCCACGCGGGTGCAGGTTCCCAAAGCTTTGGGCCGTCCTCGACTGCTTTCCCAGGCCACAAGCAGGGAGCTGGAAGGGAAGCGGGGCTGCCGGGATTAGAACCGGCGCCCATATGGGATCCCGGGCGTGCAAGGCAAGGACCTTTAACCACTTGCGCCACCGCGCCGGGCCCAGGAAGTGTAGATCTTAATGACATCAGAGTTAGTTACAAACGTAAAGAATTCTACTGGACAGAAAACTACCAACGGGCAGGAGAAATGGGGCTCTTTAGAAAACAACAATAAAATCCAGTTATTCAAATATTGAGTGTATTAAACTTAGGTAGGTGCTAAATGAAAATGCTTGGCCCATTTATGTCATTTCTGCTTTTAAGCTCTGAAATCACGAATTTTGGATCCTGTCTCTCACTTTGGTTGCTATGTGGACATGGTAGAATTTGTAAACCTCCTAAGCCTCAGTTTGCTCATTTATGGAGTGGGTGTTATATCACACTCAGATAGCTCTAGAAAGGCTTCGTGAGTCATTCACAGAATGGGAACCTAGCCTGGTCCTGCACTTAGTAAGTCCTAAGCATCTTTTCACTGGAATCTTTATTACTCCAGGACTGTAAACAGTTACTTCATTTGCTCGTATTATACTGGTAATGACTCACTGTGAGACCAGACGCCAAGTGTCCTCACCCCGAGTGCAGTGTGTGGCACAACTGCGTGGCAAGCATCTCCCCATAAT